GAATCATGCAAGTCCTGTGTTGGCTCTGGCTCCAGATTAGTTGTAAGACTAAAAAGCATGGGACAATGCAATAATGCATCTTAATTTTTTATTTCCTTCAAAACTAGGATATGAAGACTACATTACTATGGGTATTGATCCTAAGAAGCTTGTGATGGGTGTCCCCTGGTATGGCTATGACTATGTCTGCCAAAACCTATCTGAGGTAAGATGAAGATTATTCATTTGCAAGTGTACTGTTATTTTTTTCCTTGGAAAGAGACAGCTGGATTTTGGTGATGCTGTTTTTGGATGAGGAAATACTGTGATCTGATGGATAAGAGCATAAAGCTGGGACTCAAGACAGAGACTTTTGCTTGGCTGATAACTGATGAGCAGTGTTGTTACCAAACAAGGCATTTTATCTCTCCCTAGACAACCTGAACCCCACGATACCCACGTGCCATGTTTGACTAAGGAGCTGGAGATGTTATCTGTGTGAGAAGAGATGATGTCCGAAGGCACTACAACACTTGTATTTGCCTTCTCAACACAGTCACTAAGCTCATTGCTTAAAGACTAGGTGCAACAAACCATAGCAAACCTATGACTGTGAAAGTATAGCAGTTTATGGATAAACCATGGAGTCTCAAACATCATTATACTTATGAAAAATCTAAGAATGAATTAAAAGTGGAAAAGATAAGGCAACTGTATAAATTGAATGATGTCCATCCAATCCTGTATTACTACAGAGTAAACAAAATTTAACTGTTTTAATTTACTTCTGTCTACAAGTAGTGTGTCTGCCACAGATACTTGAAGATTTGGGATTTTTGAGACCCCAGTGTCTTTTGTGACTTCGTTCTTGGCTGTACTGCTATTTTGGAGTTCAATAAATCTATGTAGCATGAAACTCATGCCTTCTGCTTTTTTTCAGGATCACGTTTGTTCCCTTTCCAAAGTACCTTTCCGTGGGGCTCCTTGCAGTGATGCTGCAGGGCGTCAGGTCCCCTATGGAGAAATAATGAAGCAGGTGAACAGTTCTCTTTCAGGGGTGCTGTGGGATGAGGTACAGGAATCTCCATTTTATGAATACAAGGTAAGTAAGTGTCTATTTATAAGACACCATGTTGTGGAGTAAACGTTCATGAACCATAATTCTTTGTTTATAAAGTTTTCAGGGTTAAATTCTTCCATTTGTGTTTTCTACTTCTTTTTTTCATGTAGTAAAGGATGGCTGGATTTCCATATCTTGAGTCTGAAAGAGGGGTGCAGTGACTGAAGGCTACAGGAGTAATAAAGATCTTTATTACACTGCAGTTTTTTCGAGAGATTGTATCATGTCAATAAGGACGTTTTGGCACAAAATCCTATAGCTCCATTCTTCACGGTTATAGTTACTTTTATGAGTTGATCACTGATTTAAACTAAAACAGATTCTGAAATGCTCTGAAGTTTTCCTACCCCCCTGCCTTGCATGCATGTTCTCTTCTGCATTTGGTTTCTACATAGCCATAGTGAAAGAGTCCATGAATGATTGTGCTTACATGAACACCACAGTGTATGCATTCTGTCTTGTCTCTTTAGACATAACCTGTTAGGTTAGATAGTGTATCTGAGATTTTAGCTGTATTTTAAAAAGTTATTAAAATACAAATTAGCTAAGTCATTTAATCTAAATTCAGTTAAAATTTATCACTATTTTATAACTTAGATTCTACAAGTAAAAAATAGCCAAGTATTTGACTTAAAATTTTTAATTGTCCTGTGTGAAAAATAATTTATAAATCAGAAAAGTATCATTATGTAAATCTACATAGCTTTTATATCTGAGTTTTTAATTGTACTTTTTCATTGCATTCAACAGAAAATGTTTCAAAACTTGATGAACTTTAATGTATCATGTTTATATAGATAGGTGGATACTGACGCTAGTGTTTAAATGTTTTTCTAGGATTCTCTTGGTCACTTCCACCAAGTATGGTATGATGACCCTCGCAGCATCTCTCTGAAAGCAGCATACGTGAAGAAACGAGGCTTAAGGGGCATTGGCATGTGGAATGGAAATAGTCTTGACTATTCCAGGGAAGCTGTAGCGGAACAACAAACTGAAGCAATGTGGCAAGCCCTGACATCACAAGAGCTATGTGAACCCTTGATTTAGAATGGTGAAAAATACTTTTTTATTATGACTTACACTACCATAGATTTTGACTTTCTATAAATATACCATGATTACAAAAACTTTGAAAACTAGCCAAATTCATCTTGTTATTTGTATGCAAAGCCATATTTTCATTCTTCAGAAAGTTCCAATGTTGCTTTAGCAGCATTTTTTTTAAAAGAATGCTCATCTACCGTAAGTAGGTTAAAGTTTGAACCGAGTGTGTATCAGGTAACAAGTAAGACAAAGTGGATTTACAGGAGCAATCTGATAATGGTCCTCTGCTACGGCTGCCTGGTGCAGCAGGTACTCATTCTGGGGTCACATGGTGCAGTCACAGCTTTCTGACTTCCCACCCCACACCTGTATTTTAGGTAAGTCACTCTTGAATCAGATTAAACGCAGAACACTGGAGAGACAGATTGTTGCTTACATTGCAACTTGGTGAAACCTGTGCTTGTACTTGGTTACTCTTCTAGAGATTAAAATATTTTATAGATTGAAGAAATTATGTAACACGAAGCACTTGCCATTAAGATTTTTATCAGACTTGTTGTTAGAAAGGAATATTCAATAATATCCAGTTTCATTGTGTTTATTATGTGTCACGTAAATTCCTCAGTTTCAAAAGCCAAAAATCTTGGACCTTATCTTGAAGAGGGAACATTAATATGGAGAGGACCTGGATGATGTTTTCTTCCATTTTAAACTTCTTCCTGAAAATGAGAACTCAGAAGCTTATTTAATGAACTGCCTAAGTATTTTTCCACACACTTTAAGATTCATTCAGTAGCCTGTTGTTTGTTTTCATGTGGTGATGTCTCTGAGATATATGAGGTTCTGTTTTCTTTCTAGTTCATATTTTTTCCTAAAATAATTTGCCTAGAGAAATTGTGTAACTTTTTAAAATATCTGTAGTCATGGAAAGATCGACTGGTGTCTACAGGATTTTTTTTGTTAAATAAAATCCTGTCTTCACTCAGGTTGGTAAACAGTGTCTGTTTATGCTTTACTTGTTCCACAGCTTACAGCCCACACTGCTTCTCTGCTTCTCAGAACGGTTTCACAACCAGATTAAAGTGCAGCTGTGCCCTGCTTAAGTGACTCCATTAATCAAACAATTTATTTAATTAGATATATGTAGTCAGTTGTGGGGTGGGTTTTTTGTTTTGTTTTGGTTGGTTTTTTCCCTCTTGCCAAATAGTTACTGGGAAAACACCACAGAATAGCAGCACTACCATAATGGCTACTGAGGAGAAGACTAGAAGACTTCATATGAGTGTTTGACTGCTTGATACTACAGGTGGTGGAAAGCAGAAGGTGAAGCCTACTGCTCTCACATTAAAAAAAAAAAAAAAAAATCCTTTGGAAAATCAGAGGGGTCTACACTAGAACTCTGGTCTGTAGGTTTTAGGAGAAACTGATAAATTTATTTAACATACAGATACTTCAGAATTTATATTACTATTTATTTATATTCTTATGCTAAAATACCATGAGATAGATATTTGTGAAATTGAGAGGTCTTCCAGAGTGGATAATCTGAGCTACAAAATCCTAACTAACTGAAGGCCAGAGGACTTTATAATAAAACTCTCCTTCCTGTAGCAGTCAAAAATCATGAGTTGATTTTTTTTTTTTTTTAATTTGGGTTCAAATTTTCCAACAGCTATTTGCCTGCTCTTGTGGCTTAAATAAGACACGATTCTGAAATACAGAACGTAGCATTCAATCCTGAATTGAGCAAAAGTGGTTGTAGTTTTAATAATTAATGTAATACTTTAGTACTAAAATCTTTGTTAAATCCTATCTTTAAGAAAATAAATTGGATAATGGGTGGTTTGACTCAAGACATTTGGAAGTTAGTCCTTTTGAGAGTTGCATAATTTTATCGTATTACTGATTTCCCATGAGTGTTGCACTTCCAGTAATAAATACAGCCTTGTCAGCTTTTTAGCTGACATTCACTCCTAGCATGTTACTGTTCTGCTTAATGTAATAACATCTGGAGCTGCAAAGAAGCAAACGGGAGAGCTAGAAAAAAATTGCTATCAAGAAGAGGTTTCTGATTACTCTTTCAGAGAATTGTTATCTAAGCACATGCATGAGCTTCAATTTAAAGAAAAACAGTATGCAAAACTGTAAGTAGGACTAAGATCATCATTACAGCTTGTCCAAGACAAAGCTTGCATCTTCCACTAACTATAGAAGAAGGTTAATGTCCATATGGCTTCCCTAATAAGAGAGTGAACAAAAACAGCTAGATAGGAAATAAGGTGAGATTATCTGCAATTTTGTTCATACTTCATAATAATATGGTAATTATACATTGGTAATTTATAGATAGGCATACTTATAATGACAAAAATATACTTCAGTAAATAGCTAAATAAAGGATTACTGTTGCTGCAGTTATACAGAAGATGTATTTTAATCATTTTCCAAAAATTAAATGCGTATGCCTGAAAATAAGAACAGGAAGTTATAGATTATAGTTTTATTTGCTTAGTGGGTATTTTGTTAATGAAAGAACATCAGCATACCAATGTGATGTTACACAATTCACTAATTTGCACTTTTAAAATCACTTAGCTTTGTTTTAGACACATTACTAGGTTAAACTGTGTGTTTAAGTAGGTGACTAATCTTACCGTAAGAGTGAGATTTTACAAGAAGTGAGGTGCAGTACCTCAGTAGCCTAGTATACAAATTCCACAACATTTATATAGGTGATGTCTTTTTTACAAGATAACTTCAAGAACATACATACAAACAAATGCTCTGAAATTCTGAGCTTCTATATACATTACAGAGCTTCTGAAGACTTCACAGATGTTAAAGTCATGTCATCCTCTTAAATTCCTGATTTTCTGGACTGGAGAATTAAAGCTGAATGAATCTTCTTCTGTGTCAGTTCCGCTCTCAGTGCTCGTAAATCAGATGCTGCCTGCTTTCTCATCTGCAGAAAAAACAGTAATTTAAGGAACTGCAATTTAAGGAAATTTTTTGGAGTTGACATGCATATGGGTTTATATAACTAAGACTGAATTTTATACAGGATGACTGAATACAGGATACATCTTTCATCTTTAAAATTTTACATGTCTAATTAGATAGCCTAGTTCTAGCACTGCTTTCTTCTGTACTTCTTTGCCTTGGTGTTTTTAAGAGACAACTGTGAAATTCATTGTTTTTCCACTCCTAGTTATACAATGGAGGAGGCATAACGAGTACATCCACCCTTGATTACCCAGTAAACAGGGGCATGGGCAATCTCTGTGATGTAGAGGACTCCTATTTCAAGCATTCAAAGCTGAAAAGCTACCCAATGTGAAGGACAGCCTGTACCATCATCTTCCTTCCAAAGAGAGCCACAGGCAGCACTGGTATGGAATATAGCAGATCAAGAAGACTGCCATCTGCTTGGAGAGCCATTCTCTTTTTTTTTTTCTTTATACCAGGTTTTTTTTTTCTTAGCCATGGTCTACTACTGATCAGTGCCTCACCAAGTGTGTTCCTTCAACTACCTTTAGAGTGAAACAGGAATCTTATGAAAGAGACTGTAAAGCTTCGCTTACATTAGTACCTTGAAAATCTAGAGTGCTTGAATGCCATACATTCAAAATCATCTCATAACCTAGTATTCTGGAGTAATTTGGCTAAAGTGATAAAGTTACAATGACAACTAACACCATAAAACTAACAGCATAAAACAAGAACTGTTTAGCGGAAGATCTAAGGTTTTTTACACATAGTAACATTTTGACTGTTTTAATTAAAAGGCAGAGTACCTTGATTTCTGTTATGAGTTTCATTTTTGTATCATCCAGCTTCCTCCTCAGCTGATCAAGTTCATGCTGCACTGTAGTAATGCGGATGATTGTGTAATTCTATATGAAACAACAACAACAACAACACTTTACGTGAAGCATTAGTGCATCTCTTCATTCATTGGGTGTTACTTCACCACTCAGAAACAACACTCTAAACTCTTTCCAACTCCCTTGCTTTCTTCCAGTCCTTAATGAGTGCTGGGCTGTCTCTGGTTTGTAAGCAGTCTGCTCTCCAAGAGAATGCAGCTCCCTTCAGCTGCCAGCCCTTCAGCTGGGTGCGGAGGTTCTTCCACTCCCTATTGTTTTGGGAAGTTAAGATCCAGATCAGATCTCCTGAGTAATAGCACATTGTTTTGCAATTATCTTTTATGGCTACTCCCCATTTATAATAAAAAGGCATACTTCAAATAATATTTTTTTTCTCTCACAGGCTTAGCATCACTCTGTCACAGTACATTTATTGATGAGATTGCTACACTCATGATGTTTAGTGCAAATAAATAAACTCCTGGTTATACAGCACATCATTTCAGTGGGTGCTAAAGACTAAAATTCATGTTTTCAAAATGTAGGTTCTGATACTCAGCTCGCACAAGTCAGCCATGAAGTCCCTTGAAGTCAGTAACGCTGAGGGGTGGGGGTGTATGTGGTAATCTCTTGATGTTCCAGGCCTTTAAGAATGCTATTAAAGTGCCAGCTAAAGCATACAAGGAGTCATTAAGTGGTATCAGTAGCCTCTCATCTCTGAGTTCCCACTGTAAGCTTCTCCCCACCCAGGGGTGTAGCTGCCTGTGTACAAGGGTCCAAGTCCCAGCTCTGACACCGCACAGCTGTGTAACCCTGGCTCAGACCACTGAGAAAGCAGGAAAGGTACACAGTCATGAACGAAACAAACAGGCAGGGCCGTCAGACTAGTTGAGGGCTACTCAGGAATCACCATATTGTTGGGTTGAGTCACCAGTGAGGACAAAGCTGGTGGAAGAGGGGAAACCACTGCCAGCGGGATCGGTTCCCCAGACCCCGACTCTTCCCGCCTGACTGATGCCTGCCTGGCCAGCACGTAGCTTACAAGGGGTGGAGAGCATACTTGTGCTTAGCCTAATAGCTCATTAAATCCTAGCTACCTTCTGTGTGTCCTAGCCAATAAATAACTGCTGTATGCATGTTAAGTTGTGCATATCCTTCACATAAGGCCTCTTTGTGCCTAGCCAGAGAGAGACCTAAAAAAACCTGATATCCCCCCAAAAAGGAGCAATAACATATCTGAACATAGCTAGTAACAGAATGTAATATCAACCCTATTAATATTTTTATACTGTAGATATTTATATTAAGATTGATAGCTCAAATAATACACATAGAATCATAGAATCATTTAGGTTGGAAAAGACCTTTAAGATCAGCAAGTCCAACCGTTAACCTAACTGCCATGTCCACCACTAAACCATGTCCCTAAGTACCATATCTTACCTGTCTTTTAAAGACCTCCTTTTAAATACACACTCTTAGATTGCATATACACTCTCCCACCTTTCAGATACAAGAAAGGGACATTTATTTTTCCTGGTCTAGGTTCAGATTTGCCAATAGACTTGCTTCCATTAACACATTCAGAAAATTAGCAGCTACAACTATTGGGAAGGGTGTTTCCCCCTTTTCTTTTACCTTTTCTTTTTTTAATTCTTTTCTGAACTTCTCATGATTTGACTCCAACAACATAACATGAGACTCAGTTGCACAATAGTTCAGGAGCAACCACTCCAAAAGCCTGAGAGACATTTCTTGTCCTCCAAACACAACTAGAATTCGGTACGTCTGTATGTGAAATTTGGGATGATGAGAACAATATAGAACTGAACAATTCATTAATCATACTGAACAAAAGGGGATCTTGTTACGAGAAGGTATTGTACAAACACAAAACAGAAAGAATCAAACGCTCAGACTCAAGCACTTCTTCAGTCTTTTTGAGAAGAATGGGCTGAAGTAATTCTATACCTCAGATCATTGAGGGATATTTGGCTGTTAAAGCTAGTTTACAAGTCATTGGTTGGTGATGAATTTGTTCCTTTAATTTATATTTTATACAAAAAACAGGCTGTGTAAAAAGAGAGGTTAAATAATACAAGCAAATACCTTGGAGTTTGCCATATTGTTTGGTTGTTTTCGGCTATCTCTGGCTTCCAATTGCACGAGTAGTTTCTGGTGGTAAAGCTCTACATCTTGTCGCAGTTTGTTTAAAGCATCCTCCAGAGAAACCGTAGCTTTCTTAGTTTCAAAGTACTTCTTTTTCCATTCCTCACGAACTATACCAGAAAACAGTGATTCTGTTTGGTCTTGTTCACCTTATCATAAGGTCTATTGAAGACAGTAACGACCAACTGATCTCACAAGATTCAGTTGGCCAATGCACACATTAAAACATGGCAGTACGTTTCTTTAAAAAAAGTAATTAGTGAAAATCTTCATTAAAATGGCATTCGCTATAAATGCAACTGAATTTTCACACAGTCACCTGCAACAAAAGGCTCTATCTGTCCACCGAGATGTAACACAAGGTCCAAAACCAAAATTTCATTCAGCCTGGCTGTTCTGCAGGTTTCAGCTGCACAATAAGTGCTCCAGACCTGTGAAGACTGCTATGGCCACTACAGTCTGAAGTCCACAGCTTTGCTGTAGCAGAACATTTAGCACAGTAGATTTATGCAAAATTTGAGCTCTGCAGGGCCAGAGTTTGAACAGCTTAGTTTTATACAGAATTCCCAAGATTATGGGAAACAGTTATTTACCTTTGCACTTAACTATGATTCCTCCTATGTTGTTAAGGTGCTACCAACAGCTGGCACATACATCTCCCCATATCTAGTGCAGCAGTCTTATGGCCACATACATCCACTAGTCTGCAAAGTGTCTTAAATGATTCCTTCTTTCAAGGCATATTTTAGGAAATCAGGACACCTGCTTCTCAGAAACTTACCAAAAAGAATCCAGCTGTTGGAGGACTACACAGTACATAACTGAGAGTGACTGTCAGCACGGCAATCTTAGGAGGATATTAAATACAGACTGTATCGCTGTTCCTACAGAATATGCTCTTCCCTTCATACCTTGTGAAGAAACATGTTTGCAAATGCACTTACTTATGAAACTCTACAGGTCTGATAAAAATAATTCAGAGGAAGAGACGCTTCTTAAAGAACCTGCAGAAGCTGTTTGATTTCTTGTGAAATAACCTTTCTTTTACCCAACTGGATAATACCATTTAAGACAGGAGCCATTTAGGGCTTATCTCAGCAGGGTAAATTAGCTTGCCTTGCAGCTCCATGCTACTACAGATTCACTGCTTCAAGTACCCAGGTTTGTTTTTTTTTCTTAATACAACTTCACCATGCTGCGGAGTGCAGTTGTAGCCATGCCCTTAGAGAATAGTTGGAAGAACTGGCTTGTCTTCTCCTTTCAAAAAAGCTACAAATAATAGTTGAGACTCGTAGTGATTTAGCTATATTTAAGTACAAAGAGAATGTTCTCAAAACATCAAAGTGATAAAACCTCACCTCTGTATAACTGGAATGTGACTTAGCGAGGATAGTTTAGGTATAAACTTGAAAATAATTTTACAAAGAAAATTTGGGTGGGATTTCAATGAGATTTTACCTTGTTAAAAAACAAGGTTTGTCAAGCTTGTCATGACAGGCTGGTAACTTCCATGCCATAAGCTGAATACCATTAGATAGAAGGAACATGAAGTATTACGCTGGCAATTTGACTAGAAGCCCTATAAACACAGTAAAAATCTCTGTAAGCACCAGCTAAAGGCAGGTTTAGAATATGTCAGCTGCCCTGGGCCTCAAACAGTGAAGTGGCCTGCAGTAGCTCTCTGGGCACTGTACGTACATGGGACACAACTTGAATGGTTTATAAACGCCAGGATATTTTTAGATTTATAAGACTGCCACAAAAAAGTGGAAGGAAACATTGCAACATTGAATCTTTCCAGCATGCTGTTATACAAATGAGCCTTCTCATAGCTATTGGTTAGCAAACTGCTCTCTCTGTAATTAAGCTCACCGACAACGAGACAAACATTTTCACATTGGTTTCAGTGTAATTTCTCAATCATTCCAAATTCCAAAATAAATTAAAAGTCTACCGTAGTATCTCCTCAGCTTATTTTGTTCCAGTAGCCCTTTAGCTTTTTTTATCAGTTCTTCTCTAGTTTTTTCCATGTGCCTTCTGTCTTTCTTCATTTGTTGCAATTGTTCTACCATCCTGTTTTCTAGAGATATTACAATTACATTTAGCAAGCATCTGGATACTGTAAGTAGGAAGGATCAATCAAGATTTTTGTAATACACCCATCATAAATCATGCCAAAAGCTCTGTCAGAACAGGCAGTAGAAATTCTTTTATTTTAATAAACCATCTCTAATTTTTCAAAATGGCTGGTGCATTAGAAAAAAGTGAGAAATCCAGCATGCATCCAGGCATTCATACACACACACAAACAAGTAAACACCCTTTTATATGCCTAGACAATGTATCACTAAAACTATATTTTCAAGACATACATACACTGCATAGACTCAAAACTCTTGCCACATGAAGCCAAAAAAGCCTCCAAAAGACTATTTCCTGCTCAAAATACTTTGCGATATAAACTGTAGCAAAATCTTGCCTTTAAACTCCAGCTGCTCATAGGCAGGATAGTATCTCAGACTTTCACTAGTCTGCAAATTGTTGCTCAATCACTTATCTTCTCACTATCTCCACCACAGCGGAGGATCCTCAGCAATACTACCAGGGGTTCTTTGCTACATTCGCACATGAGCCAGCAGTATTTCATCCAACCGACCTCCTTTTCTCTTTCCATCCCCAAGTCCAGGAGCTAGGTTTTCTAACACTGGGAACCTGCCATGCTCTATGAACAGCCCATGCAATTATAAATGCCTGGAATTTTCCACCCACAAATTACAACTTGTAACAATACTGTGAATGAATGTATGTACAAATCCTTTCATAAAGTAGGTATTTCTGTCTTTAACTATTCAGTCTTGATTAAATGTTTGCTCCCCTACAATTTCTTGGAATCATATACTCACTTTCTGCCTGAATTGCAGGAACCTGAGCTGGATTTACAGAAAGCGCCAGAAAAGGCGGACTAGGAGGCGAAATATATTCTTTTGGACAAGTAAGATGACTTTGCTTGTTTTGATCTGCCTAGAGAGTCAAAAGACACAACTCTAAGTACATAACTCATAATCCTGAATAGTTACATTAGACATATGCCCTGAAAGTGGCCTGAGTGAGTGGGAGGGCTGAATTTGAATTCTGCATATAAGCTTTTCTATTCTGTTACCAATACAAATGATTACTAAATTACAGACAGCTAGACCTCTGCAAATAAAATCAGAACACTGAACACTTACATTGCAGAAAACATATGGACAAAAATGTAGACTATTGCTAATTGTTCTTGTCCATGTCAATAACCCCACAAGTTACTGACACTCCCATGGAAGACTAGGAATAACGGACCTTAAAACTGCCATCCGGCTCATTGCTTGTGAAGTCTGGACTGCCCATTTCTAAACCAAAATTTATAATAGAACATTTTTGATTTCATTAGTATTTTCATAAGACTCCACTACAATCACTTCTGCACAAGAGCTCACAGATGACAGTTAATAGTGACAGCATGTGAGTCCTGTGTCTTCCTAAATATGTTCTTACTCTGATGTTATGACTACATCATACATATGATTTAAAGAATTTTATAGTTTTTCTTATCAGAAGTTTTGCTCGAGAGAAGACAGATTTATCCCACAGGAAATATGAAATTATAAAAATATCACCAATAAAACCAATACAATGTTAATATGACATTATAAAAATGTCACCAATAAAACCAATACAATGTTACTGTCAAGAAACTGTAAAAAAATTCAGCTAACATTAAAAAGACTGAGATAGTTATTGTATATGCAGTTCCTGTTAAATGATAACCAGAGGTATAACTTCTGATGATTTCACTGTTTAGAAATATAGTTGATTTTTCATTAGCAAATCTGCAAAGGACCAGTGCATGAATTAACTTTTCTTAATTACTCTCAAACCTGTATTTGAATATTTAATATTTCTAATGAGTTATCTGTCTTATAAAATTAGACTATTTATAGGTGGAGGACTATGTTTACTGCTCCAGATAACTAAGAATAAGTTACCTTGAAAAACACACCTGACTATCCAGTTTTTCACCAGGATCAGCTATAGACTCGCTAGTTCTGTATTGCTGCAAGCTAGAGATAAAATCAAAGAAGCAAGTGAAAATTCACGTATCAAAATGTTTTTTTCACCATTTTCTTTCATTTATTTGAAGCCTGTAAAATAAATTTATAGTTATGAATTAACACTAGCCATTATTTTATCAGAATCATCATTTACTAACCTTTGGGTTTTGTGCACATATTGTGGGGTTTGCTCTTTCATTGTTTTAGGAATTCCAGAATCCTGTGTTTTGTCTCTTCTTAGTCTGGTATCTTTTTGGTGGTCATTATTTTCCATGTTTGTAATGAGCAGTTTCATGCTTAGTTCTGTGACAGGATAATGATGATCAAAATATATAGATTATACTCACAAAATTCAAGCACTTTTGACTGTCAATGCCTGGACTTTCCAACCTGTATTAGAAATTCAGTGAATCAATCCAATAAATAACCTTACCTCTGGGGTGTGGAAATGTTGTGTGAATAACCGAGGAAAGAAATAAAGGTTAAAAAAATATTTTTGTTTTGAGAATTTGTATCTAACTACACTCTCCAGACAATATCCAAATTTTTGTTTTCTTATTCAAAGTACCAGATATTCAGAAAATCACTCTGACCAAGATCTATAAGATGCCCATACCTATGAAAAAATGAATATTGCCTCATTTAATAATTATTCATTAAAAATTTGCAACAGAATAAAGGTCGCCTTTTTTTACAGGAACTGTAAAATTCTACTCAAATTAAAACTTGTCTTTCAGAAGTATTTCCTCAAAACCAGTTTGTTATAATTTTGATATTAATATAACAGTGGTCATTCAAATCCAGTTTAAATGTGTCAATCAATCATTTCATTCTTGCTAATTCCTAAAAATTTAGGAACATTAAGAACACTAGAAAACTGTTCAGAGATTGAATGGCTCCCAGTATACATAAGACACCACATTTCAAAGTAGTAGTAGTTAATAGGTCTCTTCCAAACAACACTTTCTATTTTGGCACAGAACTGTTATGTAGTTTATGTGTGCCTTAAACCCCTCCATACTTTTGTACTGTTTTCACTCTAGACTGCTTAAAGAGTTCTCCCACCTCTCAGTTTTAGGAATGCCACTGTTCAATAGCATATAAATAAACATTATATAGGAGGGAGGGGAGGAAACACTTCCTCTTCAGTAGATATGTAGCCATGGATATGATGACAATGAAAGTTTAAGTGATGACTAAATGCTTTCCCTGATGTACTGATAACGAGATTTTTTTTATTTAAAATTTCTGTTGAATTATGGGATCATTATCCTCCAATCTTTACAGTAGCTGCTTAGTAATTTATTTTCATGTAAATAAGATTAGACAAGTGCCTCAACTATAGTGAAGTGTTTCCCTGTTTCAGTACATTGTGATAAAGAAGGACTCATCCAAAGTATAAACTATAGCTCTTTGAAAGATGTTATTGTTATTCAAATTAGACTGTTGTCCTGATAGCAATATTCCAACTCATGCTGTAACTTTAGATTTCTTAAAACTCAGCTTTACTCTGCCAACTTTCTAAAACGCATGCTTTAGCAAAAAGATGACAATGAACAGTAGTACCCTTTCGATATTTAATGTCATTTTTGGGTGTTTGGTTATACTGGCCTTGTTCATCACTGTGGTCTACAGGAAGAGTAAGAGCAGTTCCGTTGGCTTTGTCATTCCACTTAGGAGTATTATGCTCTTTTTGATTCTGACTGAGATGATTTTGCTGGGAAGTCGGTAATAGCACATCACTCTCTCCAGACTCCCAGTCTGCAGGATTTGAATTACTTGGTGCAAAGAGAGATCCACTGGATCCATTTTCATCTGCATAATAATTGATATTGGAAAAGAGAAATATTATTTTATTGTTAATGTTACCCATAATAGTTATTATTCTCCTTCATCATCCTCCTTCACTACATTGGTTAAACTTACTTTTTTCTCTAAACTGCATCTGTTTTCCTTGAATCCTGCTGTTATGGCCTTGCTCATGTTTTACGTGCAAAACTGGAACAGGTTCTTTCTCACCCCATTTCACAGGACTGTTCGCTTCCTGATTTTCTAGCTGATGACTGCTTTGTGTGCTTTCTAAAAATCGTTTGCTTTTTTCAGGTTTTTGTTGGGGAAGACTGGATAATCTTGATCCATTAGCTTCTGCATTAAAGTGATGTCTCTGTTGAGTCGATGATGATAATGGATAAACATCTTCAAAGTATTCCACTCCAGGTAATAAATATAATTCAGGATAAAGTGCCTAAAATACGCAGTATATTAATCAGACACAAAAGAGGAAATGTGCCATGTAAAAAGTTTCTGAAAATGATAGTTTAAAAGCCATACAATACATACATAAGGAGGAGCAAATGACTTCAGTTCCAGTTCTGTTTCTTGCTTTGCTTTCACCTTGGAAGATAAAGAATGGAAGCATAACCAATAAAATACTTTTTTACCAATAATGTTGCATATGACTTTATTTCTGTATTCTATCATCATCATCTTTATATACTACATTTTTCTTAACCAGCACTATCTTCTGTAATGGCCTGATGAGTAAGAGGGAATATAGAATACAATTCTACTTTCTGACATGGCACTGAAACTTTGTCTATTTTTCAAAATTTAAATCAGACCCACAAGAGTACATGGATGTACTGAATAAATTTCATTACCCTTTGCACTTTCTCTTGTGGTTCAAAGGACCTGATCCAACAGTCACAGCAGAAGAAAGTCTTTGACTGTCTTTACCAGAAGTTGCTTCAAGCTGAATCCGAATAGAAATGCTGAATCTCACATAATTTTCTCTATTTACCTGATACCCCACTGCAAAATATTTAATGTATATATAAAAAACCCTAGGACTCTCTTATGTCTTCTTGTATTTATTGTTTTGATATTCTTTGTGTGATATACACATTCAGATTTCAACAGTCGTCCTAAAAAAAAAGTCTAAGATTATCAATGTATATTTGAAAGATGTGCTCCAACAGAAAAAAAAAGAAATCTGAGCTTACATTTAAATAATGAAATTGAACTAAACATGGGACCAAATTCTGTTCTCAATAATGGCCAGGCAATGCCATTGATACACTGTTAAGAGACACAGGCTGTATGAAAGATAAGGAAGAGCAAATGAACACGGTTTTGGTTTATGTTTATTTTTCATTTAAAGACCCTTACTTGCAAGTAGGGTACAGCTGTTAGTACTGCTTACGTTGTTACTGTTATGAAACAGAATACTGGGGGGGAAAAAAACCACTCAACAAATATTTGATCATGGAGATGTAATTCAATGAGGTTACCATGACCCCAAACAACAAATAAACCAGTTAGTTGGTTTATTGCTTTACACTTTGTTATAAAGTTAAAGAACAAGCAAGAGTAAATACCCCAAATTAAAATTATATCTTTAATTTTTCGCTAAAGATCTTCACTTTTATCTACCAATATCTTTAATTCTCTATTAAAGTAAAATACTTTATTAAATTCCTGACATTCTAAAGGAGGCTGGAAAATTTCTCCATTTATCTCAGAACTATCAGTGGGGAAGAAAATATACTATCTTACTTATTATCAGGCAGTTAAAAACACCTCAATCCTTTGAAGACATATGCACGTTTTCAGATTCAGATTGTTTCATAGTCTTTAACTTTCTCTTCAGATTTTTCCACCTAGTTTTCGCATATTACTTAGTATTCATTCCACTCTTCCGTGTGGGTAATTTTAGTCATAACTCAACTACAAATGAAATAAAGAACAGCACCAAATTTCCAGCTTGCAATTAATTTCCAAATCCATGAGAAACAGAGGTGAAATGAGAAGTGAAAAAAAGTATTCTATACTTATGTACATCACTTAAGTCTTTGTGTATTACACGAACAAACTTTCAGTTGGACTGGTTTTCAAGTTTCTTTAATCTTAAGCTACAGTTTGTAAGATATAAATATATAGAGAATCAATGTGAGGAACAGTTATGAATCAGAGATGTACGTTTTTGATTACATAAATCTCATGCTGTATTACTGGACTAATTGTTGGAACACAAACGTACATCCAGAGGAGTTTTCATTCAGAGACTGATCTTTAAAGGCTTTTGGGCAGGTCACAGCAGGAACCATTAAGGAACTCTGACTTACGCAGCTTCCATTGCAAATTCTACAAGTGCTATATTCCCAACCATGTGCTGGTAATAATGACTTTAGGGAGATTTTTTTTTTTAATGCAACCAGATTTGTCATATTTAATCCACTGACTTATCAAAACTAGCATCTTTTCACTGCATGGCAACTAATTACATTTGATGCTTTAAAGGATGCTTCTAATATACCTGTCCAGCTGTGCCTTTGTATTTGAGGAAGTAGATGTGCTCTGGCAAGAGTTTATGCTCCAGCACATTTAAAAACAAATGCTAACAGTGGTCCTAAAGTTATCTCTGTTTTCTTGTGATATTATCTAATCTGCAGGAACGAAATCTGTGGTTTACATTATAAAGCAGAAGAGCACTGAAGAAAAAAAATATTAACTTACCACTGCTAGTTTTTTCCCAATGCATTTTAAAAATTTGAATTTATCTGCAACTGCAACTCCACCCAGGTACTCTCCAAGCTTCTCCCGTAGCACTCTTAATGTGATGTGAGGAGACACCCTAGAATGTTGTTATTCATTAATACATCTGTAAATCAAATAACGATGGCTAGTTAGTAAGAGGGGGAAGATGCTGCAATATACATGCTGGCTTGCATAAACAGAATGACCAAAAATGGGAACTATGTCCTAGAACTGAACCTAATTACATATAGGCCAGAGACTCTTACTGTGGTAGAGTCAGGACATCATTGTATCACGTTATGGTAGACTGTATTAGAAGGGCTGTCATAACATTAACTAGCAATATTCGTATTTTAGGAACCCCACACAAAGGGAGAATACGAAAGTAGCTTAAATTTGAAAACTACTTCTTCAGATGAATAGCAAAAACATTAGAAACTACACTCATGCATTTCCATATAGGTGACAAAGTTTCATGGGGCCGGTCCAGGACTGTAGAACATACCCCTTCAAGCACTAAGGGCTAGAGGAGACTTGATCACTGTCCACTTTAAGTAGCAGGCACATTCCTTTGATTTTGTCTTCTCCAACACAAATTTACAGTTGGGTGTGTGCATGTGTACATGCAAATGTATTTTAAATCAAAACCAAACACTTCAGTGTGAGTATTTCCACCACAGCTTGAGGATGAGAGAGCTGACGCACATATGAATTGCATCATTTAATGTACTACTGGAAACCATGCAAATATTAAAGTAATGAGCTCAGTATAAAAATCACTATAGAATAAAAAGCATCTCCACAGAATAAAACCAAATGTGCAAGAGGCACACGAAAGCTCTGCAGCACAACATAAGCAATTCTAATTGCTCCTATGCTGCCATATAAAATAAACCAGGAAACAAATTCAGGCCTGAGACTGTTTATCACCCATGCTGATTAAGTGTTAGTATACTACCTAGCATGATTTTGGCCCAGGCAGCTATCACTCTTCAAGCAATGCACAGACATAGCTTGGGGGATAGCACATACCATTCTCAGTAAACAGTATAGACAAGAACCTGCCATCCCTTCAATTTGGACAGGTCTTCAACATTAACCTGTCAGGGTTTGTTTGCACTTTCAAATAGCTCTATACACTTCATTTCACACCCTGCGTAGGTAAAAACACCCTCAGTTTCATCTCATAAACACAGTACTTCAGTGGCCTACACTTGTGTTATTTCAAACACCCTGTACTTAGAGGACCCTCCTCAAGATCATAAATCTGCCTTGGAGCACAGGCAGAGCAGCAGAGAAGACCAAAGTCTGCAGGGTGGACACATCTAGGCCACACTGCTTGATCCCTGTACATTTAGCTCCTGTTTATTTCTTCCCCAGCCATTTTTTGCCCACACTTGCTGCAGATATTAGCCCTCATGTCATTTATTTTACATGTGTAAAAAAACATCTGAAAGATGGATACATAATTCATTACAGGTCCTTCCAAGGTCTTATGTGAGAACAGAGGTGATCTATAATTCAAATCGCTCTCATTCACTATCATTTCTTCAAGCTGATGTCTCAGAGAAGATATGCCCCTTGAACAGTCTTCTGAAACCCAATAAATGCAAGCTCTTTCAGAGGCAATTCTAACACTGAACACCCTTCACTGATAATGCCCATCCAATCCAGCAAGGAAATCTAAATCTAAGGCATTTATGAACAGCAGGGAAAACATCTAAGTAACTACAACGTATCATGGGAGAAAATTATCTAGGTATACAGAACCTGAAATATAGGGCAGAAATTTATCTGAAAATTATTTGCCAGCACAGCTGCTAGGAACATATAATAATATATTTCTTACTTGCTGCCACTGGCTAGCAGAAGACTAGTCACATCAGAGTCATTTGCTTCAGGGTGTTTCTTTAAAAGTAATGCAAACTAGAGTTCAGTGCAGCCATCTCATCTAGAAATAACAAAACTATGGCTTCTGTGGTGAGGAATGAGGAATAAATAAAAGATCACAGAAGCTGAGAAATCAAGTTCATGGGAACAAGAACTCAGGGCCATAGACAATTACACACTTAATATTTTCCTCTAATTTCATCATTAATGGAAGTGGCCTGTACTTAGACCTAGGAATCCTTTGTTAAGATGACTCAGACATGGCTTAAGCTCTTTGGACTGAGAGAGCTCAGATTGTCATATCCCTGCTCCTGGGAACTGACAGGCTATCCTGTCTTAATCGAGCCACTCTGTCTTGAAGCTAGCCCATTGCCAAAAAGAATTCAAGATTTTGATAATCAGGTTCAAGGAGACAGAAAGAACATAAGACTGTGAATTTACAACATTGGATTGTCAAGCTGACTGGACAGTGCTATCAACAACATCCAAACAGCGCTAGTACCAGCAAGGCTGCTGTTCCTTCTCCTGGATTATAAGAAGAGAAGTTTTTTTGCAATATTTTTTTGTTTTTAAAGACAGCAATACACTGGCCGGGTGCTAGTTATTGCTAATGCTAATGTACTGCAGCATTGCATAGTACCCATAGAATAATTAGCAATTATTTAAGACTCATTAGCAAGCAACAAATACCCAGACGGATATAAACTCACTAAAAAAAATCAATGAGAATCCTAAATTAAGTTGATGCCTCAGAATTGAGCCTTAGTGAAATAAATTTACACTAGAGAACAGAGGGCAGTGACAGATGTCCAATCACATGAAATGATTTGAAGTTACCACTCCAGCTGTGTATTTTGCGCCTCTGCTGGAGACTAGAACAGCAAACAAAATTGATATATGCACTTATTTCCTCTGGTTTTGAGCAGCCTTTCAACAAAAGAAGCTGCGAGAATGAATACATTCTGCCCTACATGCTCATACCATGTCAATCTTTTCAGTCACACAGTATATTGTCTTAAGTGGACAATACAAGCCTAAATTTAAACTAGTTAAAACCCATATTCCCTGCACTTTAAGCTAAATTGACAGGTTTTCAACAGGAGCAGACAAGGTGCATGTAAAAGCTCCATTTCAACACACATCTTTACATTATTTGATTTTTCTACAACTTCTTACCACACTAGATACACACAGATTTTGTGAGCAAAGTGTTTAGGAGTATAAAACAAACTTTCAAAGTTATGAAAGATTAAAACTGCAGCTCTCTGTGCCAGGTTTGGGCCTAGGACTGGGAACCAGGGTACTCTTTCACCAAGTCCTCTAAACAGCTACCTGAGAGCACACATAGCACATGGTGTTGTGCACAACCCTTCAGAAATACTGCTGAAGAAGAAAGAAGATACGCTGGTGGTTGCATGGGCTGTAATGCTACCCCTTGAGAAACATGGCTTAAGCTCTTTGTTTGGACTGAGAGAGCTCAGATTGTCATACCCCTGCTCCTGAGAACTGACAGGCTATCCTGTCTTAATCAAGCCACTCTGTCTTGAAGCTAGCCCATTGCCAAAAAGAATTCCCGATTTTGATAATCAGGCTCAAGGAGACAGAAAGAACATAAGACTGTGAATTTACAACATAAATTATTCTGCAGAAATACTATCACTGCTCTGGAAGCGTGTTTCAATGGTCTACACCAAGGGCTGCAATGGAGCTAAGTCTGATACAGTCCAAATAAACGTAACGCTAGTCATGGGCACCACTTACCCTCCATAAATTATTAGAAAACAAGTCTTTTCTGACAGATGTAATTGTGCTCTTTAGAGCAACAGATGGACTAAATGACTGAAGGACAATGTAAAGGACCTAGGAACCATGGACATGATGCCTAAGACTATACTCACCTTATAAATCCGGCTGAGATGAATTTGCTAGTAAGAGCTACAGGAACTGTATTCAGCTTGAAGTTCCACACTTCTTCTGGGACATAAAACACATGAAGCTCCACCAACTAAATAAAGAACAGATGATCATAACTGTAGATATATTATAACCCTCTTCCTATACGCTTTGTTTTGCTTAGGTGGACTTTCAATTTCTGGAGGCAGGAATGGTTTCTTTGATGTTAGCACATGGACTAGAAGAGTGAGGCACTATCTGACAATGATGACTAGATAGTGAGAACAGCGATGAGTAGAGCAATTTGTGATTGAATGCCAGCTGACAGCATCAAAATAAGTCACATTAGAACAAGCTCAACAATGGAAATGAGAGAAAAGAGAGCCTGTGCTACTGCTGTACGTCACTGTGACAGCAATGGACAGAGCTTACCAAAAACTGTTGATACTCTGGAGTGTGTTATGGTTACAAGAATACTTCAGCTGAAATCCTACCTCTGTTCGTCTCATAAAAAGTGCAAAGCCCTGAAAGCTTGACCCAAACAGCACCACAAGTTGACCTTGCCAGCAAGAAAAAAAAATTCAAAATATTTCTGAGAGTTGTTAATAATATTAGCTACCTTGGAAGCACAGAAATGCTCCTTCAAATGTCTGCAAAAAGAATAACTAAGCCTGCTATGAGCAAGGTTCACTTAGATTGTGTTCAAACTTTTGCTAGCTGTGGGACTGTTAATGTCTAGGTCTTGATATTTTTAGTGAAAATCAGATGGTATTGACAAGGACAATACACTTCCCTATAACTAGAAGACATGCAAACAAGCTATATTAAATATTTCTGCAGTTGTTGGGTTACTAAATATAAACTAGAAAAGAATGCTTTCTATATATACATGTTAAAAGCACATTTTTTTCCTCTCAGGTCTCCTAGAAATGGTGCAGTGTCCCTTATTTTATTATTTTTTTTTATTTTTACTTGTGAAATCTAAAAAATCTTTATGGAAAAGTACAAAAACTCTTACCTGTGATGTTCGAGGTCTCAGACTGAACGACATGTTGGTCCCTGTATTTGATCACAGCAAATGCAAGGTGGGCTTTCTAATTTTCTTTTTGATTGAAACATTCTTTAAGAATGAGTTTCATGATAATCTGTTACGAGAGAAGTTACTCCACTAATGTCCTTTATTTTCATTTACTGTTCTTCCTTCCATTTATGAAAACAGAAGAGTTGTTTCTGTGCTGAGGGCAGAAAGCTTCCAGCTAACTGCAGACAAACAGACTCAACCACACCTTCTACACAAGTGAGTATCACCTAAGTAACTGGGGGAATGGCTAAATCACAGCCCTGCAGCTCCGAAAGATCTGCCCTGGAGTATTTCCTCTTAACATTTTCTCCTCTTTCATGAAAATAATATTGAGTTGTATATAATTTTCTATATAACTGTGCTGTTTTCCTAACAACACAGACCTAAATCCCCATAAAATGGGATTCTTGCAGGGTCTGAGTTTATCTCTGATAAAGGGACAACTATTGTGAAGTGCAGCCAAGCCACAGGCACGGCACACTGCGCCAGCCAACCGCAGTATTCCAAGGAAACCTGACTGTACCAAGCAACCATGTCAGAAAAATCCTTTCACAAGCTATAAACCACGGTTCTGCCTTAACCTTGTTATGACTTTCCTCAGTGCTCTCACTTGAAGGCTCTTCCAGCACCTCAGAGGTTACAAACCTCCTTCTGATTTTCAGCCTGCTGAAGGCCCTCGCTGTTCTCCTGATCATCTTCGCAGCTCTCCCTCGCACCCCTGCTATTTCTAATTCACCTTTTCTTGAGCGCAAGTGACCAGGCCTCCCAGATGACCTTGCCGGTCCCGCCCTGGCTCCGTGTGGTGAAATTAAGATTTCCTCATGTCAGCTGGAAGCACGTATGTAAAAGGGCCTGTGCCTTTACTTGCCTCTTCGCAATTGCACTGCAACGAGCTCTCACGAATGACCTGACTGGAACATCCCGTCCCTTCTCCACTTATTCCCAACCAAAGACGCAGCCGGTTACAGCACAAGTTCTTCCATTAGTCCCTGTATATATACAAGAAGCTGCACTTTGCGTTACATGTCGCCCGATGCCGTTATTCCAGGCTCCACGGTAATTCCTGGACACTTCACCCACCTCCTCTAGACCGTAGTCAAGACCCCAACATGCTGGCAAGCGCAAAGTCAGTAACTTCATTCATTGTATCTGAAAATAAGCTCCAAAGTAGTAACTGACTGGGTATTATCACCAAGATTTGCCATCTTGGTCTTACTATTGTCCTTCCTTTTAATTCACTTTATAGGTAAATGGAGGGGGGGATGACTTATCTCTGTGTTTCCAGGCCGTCCCCCCCTTCCCGGGCACACAGAGCTCGCAGGCAAACAGCCACGAACCGCAAGCACCAGTGACCGACCCTCAGCCCGGGCTCCC